AGCATAAATTGTTAACATGGAAAGTTGAGAATTTGTCGTCTTTGAAAAACAAAATTGATCAGACTCTTACTGCTATTCAGAGATGGGAGTAGGATGTTCAACATATGGGCCTCATTTTTTAGGGTGACCTGGTTCATAGGAATCGGCTGCTGTCATCTTTGGATGATTGTTATCGTTTGGAAGAAGTTTTTTGTAAGCAAAGGTTGAGAGTAAAATGACTAAAAGAAGGAGACTGTAATACTAAGTTTTTTCATGCAATTACTAATGCTTGAAGGAGTCAGAACTCTATATCGGCCTTAGTGATTCCTGGTATTGATGTGGAGGATATTACTGCATGGGAATCTAGTATTATTTCTCATTTTCAAGAGGCTTTCTCTTCTAAAATTCCCTTTAAGCCTAAAATGGAGGGTCTTGTTTTTTCTAGAGTCCCTGCTGAGTTAGTTGAAATCTTTTAAGTTGGGGTTTCGATGGAAGAATTACAGTGAGCTGTTTTTAAACTTCTAGGGGATAAGTCCCCTGGACCATATGGCTTTCCCTTATATTTCTATCAGAAATTTTGGTCAGTGGTGAAAGTGGACTTGCTGGATATGGTTAGAGAATTTATGGAGACTGGGGAACTCTTTAAAGGTGTCAATGCTACTTTTATAGTTTTAATCCCAAAGAGATCTGTTATTTCTTCCCTTTTTGATATCAGGCTCATTAGTCTCCTTACTAGTCTGTATAAAATCATTGCCAAAATATTAGCTGAGTATTTGAAGATAGCATCCTGTTATTGGTCGCTGAACCCAGTCGGCTTTTATCCAAAGTAGAATGATTTCGGATTGTGTGCTCACCGCACAAAAAAACATTCATTCTAAGTGTTTAAGTTGGAAGCCGGGTGTAGTGATAATTGGATATGAAGAAAGCTTATGAAAGGATAGAGTGGTGTACTCTGATGGAGATTCTTAAAAATATGGGTTTTGGCTCTAAATGGAGAAGCTGAATTTTTGGGTGCCTGTCGATGGCTCACTTTTCGATCCTAATTAATGGTAGCCCAAAATGTCTTTTCAAGGCTTCCAAGGGCCTTAGATAGGGTGACCCTCTATCGCCCTTTCTTTTTACTCTATATGCGGAGTGCTTTAGTAAGATGATCTGTAATATTCTGGATAAGGGTTACTTCAATGGCTTCAAGTGCGCCCCATGCTATGGTTGTTGATGTAGTGGAAGTGATAGGTGATAAGGTTAGTTGGAATATCACCTTCCCTTATGATAGGATCCATAGCTATCTTTATCAACCGTTTATCAATTTGTTACAAGATCTTTATCAGGTGGATATTAGGCAGCATCAAGAGGATGAGTTGGTATGGGAAATAGATAATGATAGACAGTTCTCAGTCAAATCTGTCTACAAACTTCTTTTCTTTGATAAAGTTAGATGGAGTCTTCTTAAGATTTCGCAGATTTGGAGATGGTCTGTTCCTCTTAAAGTGCAAGTTTTTATTTGGTTGGCAGCTCAAGATAAAGTCCTCACCGTAGATAATCTCATTAAGAGATGGAAGATAATTACGAACATGTGCTTATGTGTAAGGATGATGGAGAGACGAGGCACATTTGTTTATTCACTACTCGTGTGTGTCCAAAATTTGGTGGTGGTGTTTTTAATTGATGGTGATAAAGTATTACTACCACAAAATGTTTTGGATTTTACTGTTCAAATGGATGTGCCTCTACCAAAAGTTGGAGGACAAATTTGGAAAGGTTTACAAGGAGCTATTATGTAGGAAGTGTGGTTGGAAAGGAACATGAGAACTTTTGAAGGGATCATTTCTAGCTTTGAAAGGGTGATCAATAACATCAAATTAAGTCTTTGATAATGGTTGTCAGTTACTAAAGAGGGGGGTATTTCTAAAACTGATGTTATAATTAATCTTTCGAATCTCTTTCAATTGGATGCGTATATAAATAGACCATGTGTTAAATGGAAGCGACCAAATTAGGGAGTCCTAAAGTTGAATTTTGATGGTAGCTCTTTAGGGAATCTAGGTCTAGCTGGTTTTGGTGGAGTAATATGAGATTGCCAAATGAATGTTTTACTTGCATATGCTGGACCTTGTGGTATTACAACAGCTAACCATGCTGAATTACTTAGAGTTTTGAATGGTTTGAAACTTATTGTGGACAGGAATTTTGGAGGTGATTTTATTATTGAAGGGGATTCGCTTAAAGTTAAATGTGCAAGAAAGAACAACGGCTTCCTTGGAAACTTTAACTGATCAGGTTGCAGATTTTCGATTTTTTGTCTTTATTGTCTTTATCTCTAGAACCTGTGTATAGGGAGGCTAAGGGTGTGGCTGATTCTTTGGCTAAGAGAGAAGATTTTTTGGATTCATTAGCGATCACTGATAATGAGGATTCGTTGATGTAATATGTCATTTTATGAATAAATTTTGAATTCTATCAATATAT